GAATTTCGGGTTGGTGGGGGTGCGGGTTCCATCTGTGTTTTCTCGATGTTCCCCGACCCCCCCCCCCCCCCCCACTGGAAATGGAGGTCCTTTTGAGGCTTTCGGGTTGGGTTGGGCTGGTCTGGTGGGTGGTGATGTAGAGGCCCAGGCCCGACTTGAGCTTAGAGCCCAGCGCTGGCCTTCTTGGGCAGCAGCAGGGACCGAGCGAGGGCCCGGCCCGCAAAGGGGGCGCACGCGGCGTGGGGCCAGGGGGAAGGCGGGGGCGGAGGAGGAGGAGGAGGAGGAGGAGAAGGAGAAGGAGGAGGAGGAGAAGGAGGAGGAGGAGGAGGAGGAGGTAGAGGCGCTGGCTTTCTTGGGCAGCCGCACGGACCGAGCGAGGGCCCGGCCCGCAGAAGGGGCGCGCACGCGGCGCGGCGCCTCAAGGGGAAGTCCATTCCCTGTGTTTTTTTTCGGTTTCGTGCGTGGCTTTTTCGCCAAGTGATCAAGGATGCTCCTCGATGGTCCTCGCCGAAGGAAAAATGCACACGTCCGAGCGATGCCAGGGCAGAAGATCCACCCCGAGAAGAGCCACCCCGACGCGCGCAGAGGTGCAGCAAACGCGCCCAGAGAGGAGGCATCACGCAGGGCGGGGGCAGCGCAGTAAGCGCCCATGGGCCGTTTCGCAAACGACAGTTGTCCGATCCGGGTGGTGGTTGCTCTAGGGGGCCACATGCGAACCCTACCCCTACCCCCCACGAGTTCTGAGGAGGAGGGGGTCACTTTGCTCGAGAGCTCCCGAACGAAGTGAACCCCACCCTCCCCCTCAGAAATCGTAGGGGGTAGGGGTAGGGTTCGCATGTGGCCCCCTATGCTCCCATGAGTCTTCGAAAACCAGTGGGCCCTGCGAGGAGGGCCCTGCCCTGGCGGGGGTGCTGGCGAGCGTGGGCGTTCACGTGGCTGCCCCCCACGGTGCCGAAGGGCTGCTGCGCGCGGTGGCTTCCGCGCCCTGGGCCGAGCTCTGTGGCCACTGCTCGCCCCGCAGGGCACGGTTGGCGATGCAGCAGGGGCTGGGCGGCGCGCACGGGGGGGAGGGGGATGGGGGGGAGGCTTCTTGGAAGCAGGCTGCTTCCTATTAAGGGGCACAGGGACACACACACACAAATGAAAAGACACACATGACAGGATGCCCCATGGTTTCACAAATGTTGTGGGTGTCGGTCTTCCCCGCACCTTCCCATAGTTTCCCATTATTTTCCTGGGAGTCGACGTTTCATTGTGTGTGTGCGTGTGTTCCCCCCCTGACCTTAAAGGCCACAGATAAGGCCCGCACCTTCTAAGAAGCAGGGGTCCCTCGTACAGGCTGATTTTGGGCGGAAAATGAAAAAAATACCTGAACATATGCCAAACATGCAAAAAAACGTTCCCAGACTATCTTTAACTAGTTTAAATATTCTTCCTGTAGAGGGACAGGCTCGACTTAACCCTACATCCACAGATAAGGCCCGCACCTTCTAAGAAGCATGGGTGCTCCTAATGATCCTTCCACCCTCCCCCTGCCCCCCTCTTGCGCGCGGCCGAGGAGGTGGCTCTCGAACCGCTGCAGGTCAAACTTGCTTGGCGGAAGGCTAGAGCCGTGCTTTCACACGGGATAACGCCCATGACCAGCCCCGCCACCCCTTCCTCCAGGGGCAACGATAGAGGGGGATAGGCATAGGGGGGGATGTATTGACCCCCAATCATCCTTTGATCGCCGATAGGGGCCCGATAGTCCCAAACTGCCCAGGAGCGTGCGGATTCACTATCGGGGGCCTATCGCCGATCTATCGGCGTTGTATCGCCGATTCAAGGTCGATGTTTCCCCCCATATACCAGTCCCCCCTTATCCCTCCCCGCCCCTCGTCACATCACGATTCGCGCCGGCGCTGTCTGGGAATTAGACGTTCCGAAGCATGCCCAGACAGCGCCAGCACGAATCGCGATGTGACCGGGCCCCCCTCCCCCCCCCTCACCCCCTGGTCACGCCAGGTATCGCCAGAGCGTTGAGAACGATCTCCTACCATCAGCTACCTGCGCATTTTCCTGGCGGTCACCTTGGAATGCTTCGCCGCCACTTTCATGGGGCGCCGCCCTCGGTTCCGAGAAGGAGGAGGAGGAGGAGGAGGAGGAGGAGGAGGAGGAGGAGGAATAGGAGGAGGAGGAGGGGAGGGAGGGAGGGAGGGAGGGAGGGAGGAGGGAAGGGGAGGGGGGAGGGAGGGAGAGGGGGGGGGAGGGGGGGGGAAGGGGGGGAGGAGGAGGAGGAGGGGAGGAGGAGGAGGAGGAGGATGAGGAGGAGGAGGAGGGAGGAGGAGGAGGAGGAGGAGAAGGGACACGCTCGTGGAGCACGGTGGCGTCTAGTGGCCGGCCGCATGTTCGCACACATTGCCAGAATGGCTACTGGCTGCGGCCACGGCTCGGGTCTTCAGGGGGGAGGGAGGCTGAAGGAAGGAGGGAGGGAGGGACGGAGGGAGGGGCGGAGGCCGGGAAGAGGGTGGGAGGGAGGAGGAAAGATGGAGCAAAAAGAGAGATAGGAATGAGGGGGCAGGAAGGAAGGATGACAGAGGGAGAGGAGGAACAACAGCAATATGAGGGGCAGAAAAGAGATGCGATGGAGGACGAATAAGAAGAATAATAATAAGTAGCATAATGAGGCGAAAGAACGAGGAGAAGGAGTCCGCACCTTCTCCATCATCAGGCCAGTCAAGAGCTTGTGCGATGAGCTGCACATGGAGCAGAGGAGCTCGAGGGACAGCTGCAAGAGCTGCACCAGCTTGATGATGCTGTCCGCGCTAACGGTCTCGAGGTCATCGAAGCCGAAGTGCGACAACATGATATTGTCCATCAGCTGCTCCAGGGTCTCGATATCGACCTCCCTGCGCACCCTGTCCACGTCCAAGGAGTGCAGCAGCCGCCAGTTTGTCTTCCCCACCCGCGGCTGGAAGGCAAACTTCGCGCTCGAAGGCGCCGACGCCGAGTGCCTCGGCGCTGCTGGCGAAACGCAGCTCTCTTCTGCACGGCGGCGCGTTCCAATGTAGGGAACGAACCGGTGGCAGTCGCTTGAACGCGCGCACTTGCGCACAACCGGAATCGTGAGACCCTGAATCCCAACAAAGATGCCATCTCTTGAGAAGGGGGGCGCGTCTTGCATCCGCCAACTTCCGCTAATCTCCCGTCGGCGTCCGCCAGCGGGGCCGTCCATCTCGTACCTCCGCACGCCCTCCGCCAACGACGAGACGCCAACCGCTCGAACCCTCGAATCCTTCAGACCGCTCCACCAATCGGCGGCGAGCGAGGGGGGGAAGCGAGAAGGGGCGGGCCGTCTCAGGAGGCTCTCGGAAGTCACCCGGCCTTCCGAGAAGTCTTCGGATCCGTCCCCGAGGACAAAAAAAACTCGGAGGGTGCAAGGGCTGCTCAGAAGCCCTCGCCGCCCTCCGAGAGGGCCTCCTCCTTCTCGCTTCCCCCCCTCGCTCGGAGGTGCGCTGCACATTCTTCGGGCTCCGAGGGCCACGCTCTGATGCACCGCAGCTGCCACTCCTGAGGCCCGACGGCGCCGCTGGAGGCGCCAACGTGGTGCGGTGCACGCGAAGCCGTCCGCGGAGCAGGAGGGCCGTCCTGGGGCGGTCTTCGAGGCCTCTTGGGCCGTCTTGGAGCGCCGGTGAGCCGAAGAGACAAGCAGGCCAGAGACCATGGAAGGCCTGCGGGCAATCAGTGATGTCGGCCTCTCTGGGCCTCCTTGGGAAGCCTCTTCGAGGCCTCTTGGGGCGTTTCGGAAGCCTCCTGGACCGTCTGGGGGCCATCTTGGGCGTCTTGGGCAGGAAACCGGAGGACTGACCTGAACTGACCTGGCGCTTCTACAGCAGAAGCCGCCCCGGCTGCGGAACAGGCGTTGGCGTCGCGGCGCCCCGCACTGCAGAGGGGGCAAGGGAGGAAGAGCAACATCAGTGGGGAGGAGGAAGAAGAAGAGGAGGAGGAGGAGGAGGAGGCGGAGGCCTGGTCATCCTTCCATTCCTGCCCCTCTCCTTCCTCATCTCCATGGCCATCGCCATCATCATCATCATCATCATCATCATCATCATCATCATCATCATCATCATCATCATCATCATGATTATCATCATCATCAGCATCATCATCATCAATGTCAGCATAATCATCGTCATCATCATCAGCAGCGGCATCATCCTCATCATCAGCAGCAGCATACTCATGAGCATCAACACCGTCATGATCATCATCATCATCATCATCATCATCATCATCATCATCATCATCACCAGTATCATCACCATCAACATCAATAACATGACTACCATCAGCAGCATCATCATCAGCATCATCAGCATCATCGTCTGAGTCATCCTCATCATCATCATCATCATCAGCATTACCATCATCAGCATCATCGTGAGCATCACCATCATCAGCATCATCATCGTAATCAGCATCGTACTCAGCATCGTAATAATCATGGTACTCAACAACAGCATCATAAACATCTTCAGCATCAACATTATCAGCATCATCATCGCCACCATCAGCATACTCAGCATGAGCATCGTCATCAGCAGCAGCATTAGCATCGTCAGCATCATTATCAGCATAATCTTCTTCACCGTCCTCCTCATCACCGGCACGGTAATCAGCAACATAATCATCATCAGCATCAGCATCACCAGCATCATCCGCATCGGCATCAGCATCATCGCCATGATCATCAGAATCATCAGCATCGTCATCCTCATCATCAGCGTCATCATAAGCAGCATCAGCAGCATCATCAGCAGCATGATCAGCATCACCTCCATCAGCATCATCATCAGCATCTCCATCATCATCAGCATCATCAGCATCATCATTACCCGCTGCAGCATTATCAATAACATCATTAGCATCATCAGCGCCATCAGTATCGGCAATATCACCAGTAACATCATGCATCATCAGCATTATCAGCATCGTGAGCATCATCAGCATCAGCATGATCTTCATCAGGATCAGCATCACCACCATCATCAGCATCATCATCAACATCAGTAACATCATCGTCATCATCGCCGTCAGCATCACTGCCATCAGCAGTAGTATCAGCATCGACACCATCGTCCCCATCACCATCAGCAGCCAAATCAGCCACGCCATCAGCATCACCATCAGCACCATCAACATAAGCATCATGCTCATCCTCATCATCAGCAGCATCACCAGCATCATCAGCACTATCGGCAGCAGCAGCATCAACCGCATCAGCAGCATTATCATCAGCATCATCCGCATCACCATCAGCATCATCAGCATCAACATCATCAGCATTATCAGCATCGTAAACATCGTCAACATCATGACTACCAGCATAATCAACATCGCCATCATTCCCCCAATCATCATCATCATCAGCATCACCCGCATCATTATGAACATCAGCAGCATCATCAGCATAACCATTACCACTATTACCATCAGTATCATCATCAGCGTTAGCATCAGCAGCATCACCATCATAATCACCAGCATCAGCATCCTCGGCATCATCAGCATCCTCATCAGTGTCACCAACAGCGTCATCAGCACCATAATCCGCATCATCATCACCACCATCCTTATTCTCATTATCATCATCATCATCCGCATCATAATCAGCATCAGCAACATCTGCCGCATCAGCATCCCCATCCTCAACAGCATCAGCATCGTCATCATCTGCAGCAGAATCAGCATCCCCATCGTAAGCATCATCAGCAGCATCATCTGCATCAGCAGCATCATGATCATCGCCATCATCGTCGGCATAGACATCATCATAATCATCATCCGCATCACAGCCATCATGGTCACCAGCAACATCATACTCAGCATCATCATCATCATCATCATCAACATCACCACCATCCTCACCATCCTCATCATCAGTATCACCACCCGCCTCCTCATCATGATCAGCATCGGCATCAGCATAACCATCATCAGCATCATAATCGGCAACAGCATCATTAGCACCATCACACTCATTATCACCCAAATCATGGTAAACCTCTGCTCCCCCTCCGCATCAAAAGCATCACCATGATCCTCGTAATGATCAGCATCAGCAGCAGCAGCAGCAGAATCAGCATCCTCAGCATCAACAGCCGCATCATTAGCATCATCATCATCAGCCCCCTGATCATCATCCCCATCAGCAGCATCATCAGCATTAACAGCATCCCCATCATCAGCATCATCATCATCGTCATCCGAATCAGCATCACCAACATAATCGTCACCAGCAGCACCACCATCATACGAATCACCACCCGAATCCTTATAAGCATCAGCATCAGCATCACCAGAATCATGAGCATCATCATCCGCAGCATCATCATCCGCAGCATCATCATCACCAGCATCATGAGCACCACCAGCAGCATCAGCATCATGATCAGCATCAGAATCAGGATAATCATCATCGGCCGTAGCATCACCAGCATCAGCATCGCCATTGTCAGCACCACCATCATCAGCAACATCATCCTCAGCATCAGCCGAATCCTCATCGTCAGCAACAGCAACATCCGCAAACGCATCAGCGGCATCTTCATCAGAATCATCGTCAGCATCATTAGCAACATCATCGTCACCATCATTGACATCGTCATCAACCTCATCAGCATCGTCATCATCACCATCCTCGAGCCCATCATCATCAGCGTCTTCATGGTCAGCATCATCATTCGCATCATCAGCGTCATCGTCCTCATCAGCATCATCAGCACCATGTTTTTCGACCTCATCAGCATCATCATCAGCATCATAACCAGCAGCATCATCAGCACCCTCACCAGCAGAATCATCAAGATCATCAACATCATCACTATTGGCATCACCCGCGTCATCATCATCATCATCATCAACATCATCATCATCATCATCAGCAGCATGCTCAGCATCATTATCCTCATCATCCGCATACGCATGATCATCAGCATCAACAATAGCAGCATCAGCATCATCATCACCGCCATCATCCTCAGCATCATAATGAGCAGCTTCACAATCAGCACGACCATCAGCATTTTCATCCTTAGCATCGTCATCATCAGCAGCAGCATCAGCATCATCATTGCCATCATCAGCATCATCATCAGCATTAACAGCATCAGCACCAGCGCCATCATCATCAGTACCAGCATCATCATCAGCAGCATCATTCCCATCTCCTGCAAATGATCACCATCAGCATCATCATCAGCATTAACATCATCAGCATTATCATCAGCATCATCAGCAACATCACCAGCATCACCATGCGCATGATGAGCATCATCAGCATCGGCATCATCATCAGCATCATCAACCGTATCATATTCATCAGCATCATCGTCAGCATCATCATTCGCACCGTCATCCTCATTACCGATCACAGCATCACGGCAATCCTCATGATCAACCTCTGCCCATCCTCCTCATCATAGCCAGTACCATAATCATCACCAGCATCAGCATCATAATCAACATGATCGGCACCATCATCAGCAGCAGCATCACCAGCAGCATCAGCATCACCACCATCATCATGTTTCGCATCAGCATAAGCACAATCATCAGCATCAGCATCAGCATCAGCATCAGGATCATATTAATCATGATCATCAACATCAAAATCATCATCATCATCATCATCATCATCATCATCATCATCACCATCATCGCCATCATCATCGCCAGCACCATCATCGTTCCCATCAACATCATCATCGGCATCAACATAATCATCATCACCGCCATCATCATCATCATCATCACCAGAATCACGAACTTCATACACAGCATCAGCATCATCAGCATCACCATCACCATCATCATCAGCATCATCATCACGACCAGCATTATCATCATACACAGCATCAGCATCATCATCGTCAACCTCATCATTCGCATCATCATCAGCATCATCAACATCAGCATCATCAGCATAATCAGCATCATCAGCATCAGCATACTCCTCAGCACCATCAGCATGGTCATCATCATCAGCATCAGCATTATCACCATCGTCAGCATCGGCATCAGCATCATCAGCAGCATCTGCATGAGTATCATCATCACCATCATAAGCATCATCATTAATATAGTCATGCTGATCATCATATCGTCATCAGCATAGTCATCGTCATCAGCATCATGAACATACTCGTTCTCATCGTTAGTATCATGAGCAGAATCAACATCACCAATAACATCTTCCTCAGCATCATCAGCATGATCATCGGCATCATCAGCAGCACCAGCACCAGCATCAGCATCAGCATCAGCATCGCCATCATAAGCATCATCACCATCACCATTATCATCATCATCATCATCATCATCATCATCATCATCATCATCATCATCATCATCATCATCATCATCATCATCACCATCATCAGCATCAGCAGCAGCAGCAGCAGCATCAGCATCAGCATCAACCTCTGCTCCTCCTCCTCCTCCTCCTCCTCGCCCCCCTCCCTCCCCTCGCTTTGTGGCTACAGACTCCTCCTGCTGCGATCGTCACCCTCCCTCTGCCCCTCGCGCTCTGAGGCGGCGGGCCCGAGGCCGCCAGCGGCAGGGCTGCCCAGCAGCGCCAGGGGTGCCCCGCCAGCATAGCCGCCCGCCAAGGGGCTCCCCGCCGGCGAAGCCCCTCGCCAGGCCGCCGCCGACGGGCCCCCGGCGGGGCAGGGCCCCGCCCAGGGGGTCCCGGCGGGGGAGGCGCCGGCCGGAAAGGCACCCGCAGCGAAGGCCTCCGCGGCGAAGGCCTCCGCCGGAGGGGCCCCCCGAGGCGGGAAGGCCCCCGCCGGCCCCCCGGGGAGGCCCCCGCGGGAGAAGAGGTCCCGGGCGGGCCCTCGGCAGGGGAGGCCCGCGCAGGCGCCGGGGAGGAAGGCCCCCGCCAGAGCAGAGGACATGGCCGGCCCGGGCAGGCGGTGCTGCCCGAGGGCGCGTCGGGCCCCGAGGAGCAGCCAGGCATGGCGCTGAAAATCGAGAAGGCTCTGGTGAAGCAAGGAGGAGGAGGAGGAGGAGGAGGAGGAGGAGGAGGAGGAGAAAGAGGAGGAGGAGGAGGAGGAGAAAGAGAAAGAGGAGGAGGAGGAGGAAAGAAATGACTGGATAGAAGAAGAAAAACAACGGCATCTAAACATAAACTGTTGGCGCTCCGCGCGGACTTCTTGGATCTGCGCCGGACCCCCCTCCATGGCGCGCGGAGCGCGCCAGGGACGGCGCTGGAGGCGCCACCGCCACCAGGGGGACCCCAGCGCAGATCCAATAAATCTGCACGGAGCGCCGAAAGTTTATGCTTGTGGCGTTTTGGAGAGCGGAGTGGCGGAGAAGGATGCGTAGGGCTGAACCCAAACTTGCTGATTTTCGTTCTTCCTCGTTTTGCCTTCGCTTCGCCTTGAATGCAAAACTAAGCGAAAAACAATACGAGATGGCCAGAGTACCGTTTTGGTCCAGCGCCGGGGACAACGGAGGGCGAGAGGAGGAGGCGGGCGGGAGAAGGAGGACGGGCGAAGGGAGGGCGGGAGAAGGAGCACGTGAGAAGGGCAAGGGAAGGGGGAGGAGAGGACGGAGAGGAGGAGGAGGAGGAGGAGGAGGAGGAGGAGGACGACGAGGAGGAGGAGGAGGAGGAGGACAGGAGAGGAGAGGGCGAGAGAAGGGAGGGCGGGAGGAGGAGGAATCGGAGATGCGCCCAGGCCAGTTCCCCTCGCACGCGTGCGCGTAGCCTGCGGTCGCGCGGGTGCGCGTTAACCCGTCGCTGCCCGCCGTGGCAGCGTGGCGGCCGCCCGCGTGGCGCAGCCGGGTGAGCGTTTTCTTTTTATTCGGCGTTTCGACATTGGGCGGAGACGGGGAGGGGGGGGGGGTCTAGCTCTGGACATTGGGCGGAGGGGGGGGGGTCTAGCGTTTTCTATTCGGCGTTTCGACATTGGGCGGAGGGGGGGGGGAGGGGGGGGGTCCAGCTCTGGACCTCTGCTCCGTGCGACTGGCTGCAGCAGTGCGGCCGACGGGGGAGGGGCCCCGCCTGCTCGAAACAGAGGGGGGGGGAAGGGGGGGGGCGAGGGCCGGCGCCGAGCGGCAAAACAAAGGAGTGAGAAAGCGCCCACCAGGCAGCACGGCATCCTCAGTTCGTCTCGTGCCACAGATGTGGCGCAAAGATAAGGCGCAGTGTGAAGGGAGCTGGTAGAGCTGGCAAGAGGCTTGGGGCGCAACCAAAACCCAGTCCAATAAATCAGTCCACCAATGGACCACGTATCACTGCCCGTTGTGAGCAAACACGATGTTCGACCTCCTGCGCTCATCAAACTACGCTGGCGTTGTTGCCGCCATTTGGACGTGGTAGCGTACGAAGTGGCGCACCTTCAGAAGAGGTACGGGGGAGAAATAGTGAAATAATGACAAGGAGTAGCCGGGACAGTCAGGGAAGGCGGGGGGAGGGGCACGGGAAGGGGAACGGAGAGCGGAGCACTGCACAACTATAGGCATACGATTGGGATCCCTCCCGTGACGAGAGCAACGACACGTTTCTGGCGTTCTCAAACTTTGCAGGGTGCCCAGTATGCACGATATTGCCAAGTGGTCCTCGAGGCCATCAGGGAAGAAGAGCTTTGCTCTGAGGCGCCTGGGCGTCTGCTGACAGGCGGTTGTCTTGCTTAGCGCTCCTACCGTAGGAGAGCGGTAAGAGGGACGGGATGACAGGATGCTGGGGAGGAGGTGAAAGGGAGGCAGACGGTAGTGCTTGAGGATGCGCGGTGTTCGGCGCAACGCCTCCCCATCGCAGGAAGGAGCAACGAGGAGCCTGGCGAGTCGGCCACCTCAGACGCACTCCGCGCAGCCAGCGAGGTGCCCCATTGCGCGAAGCCGTACTCATCCCCCTCCTCCAACTCCTCCTCCTCCTCCTGCTCCCTCCCTCCCTCTCCTCTCCCTCACTGGAAAACAAAGAGCTCGTGCGTCACCACCGCACCCGTTGCGTTTTTTCAGCGATCGCGACGTCGTTGTGGAGTCCCTCACGACGGTGGCACGTACCGGCAGCTCGCCTTATCCAGAGCTCCCTTCGCGCCCGAGGCTGTGAAGCCTTCATCACTTGGCTTGCGCTGTACAAGCATGCAGCCGACCACCGACGACCGACGACCGACGACAGACGACGACGACGACGACGACGACGACGACGACGACGACGACGACGACGACGACGACCGACGACCGACGACCGACGACCGACGACCGACGACCGACGACGACCGACGACGACGACGACGACGACGACGACGACGACCGACGACGACGACGACGATGGCGGCGACGACGACGACGGACGACGACGACGACGACGACGACGACGACGACGACGACGACGACGACGACGACGGACGGCAACGACGACGGACGACGACGCCGACGCCGACGCCGACGCCGACGCCGGACGACGACGACGACGACGACGACGACGACGACGACGACGACGACGACGACGACGACGACGGCGACACAGCTCGCGGTGGGCCTCCGGCGACGCATACGGGAGATTCACCTGCGCGGCGCGCTTGGGAGGCGGGAGCCGGGGGAGGAGGGAAACTCGTCTTGGAGCCGCCTGGAGGTTTCAAGCCCTCTTAAGTGGACCCAGGAGGGTTTTGTTGGAGTAGGGAGGGGGGCCAAGGGGGAGGGAGGCAGGGATGGAAGGACGGAGAAGGGATGAGGGAGGAAGGGAGGGTTTGACCCCAGTCAGGCGTTGCGTGAGCTTGCCCCTCGGATCTGCGAGGTGCGGCAGATGCGCCTGGCTTGACCGAATCCCTATAAGGTGAGCGAGGGCGACCTCGCATTTGTGAGCACCCCTGGCCCTGGGAACAGCTGAAAAAGCAGGCGGTGCTTGGAGGGGGGGGAGGGAGGAGAAGGGAGGAGCAGGCAGAAGCCAGGGTGCAGGAGGGAGAAGAGAGTCTCCCGCTGCTGGCCTACTACTCCTACTCCCTCCCTCCTCAGCCTCCTACCCCCTCTTTGGCATCCCCCCCCCTCCTGTTCATTCCCCCCTCCCCCTCAAGGGGAGCAGGGAAAGAGGAGGGAGGGAGGAGGGAAGGAAGGAGAAGGGTACGAATTGGGAGAGAAGGGAGGAAGTAAAAACGAGGAATTGGGCGGCAGGGAGAGAGCAACGATAATGAAGCAGAGAGGAGAGAGGAACGTGACAATGAGGATGAGGGGTAAGGGATGAGGTGAGGGGACGAGGAGAAGATGCACATATACATAGAGAGAGAGACTTAAAAAGAGCATGAGACAATAAAGTAAAAACACTACAGAAAGAAAGAGCAAACTCGCGAGTGAGAACACACCATATTTGAATACCAAAATCTGTAACAGTATCTGCGCGCGCACTTCCACAAACATCGTCGTCAGCACCACCAGCATCACCATTACCAGCGTCATCATCGCCATCATCTCCATCACCAGCATCTTCATCACCTTCGCCGCCATTGCCGTCGTCGTCGTCGTTGCCGTCACCCTCGTCATCAGCACCATCGTCACCACCGTCACCATCCTCATTATCGTCGTCGATGCCGATGTCGTCGTCCCGAGTCCCACTCGCCCACCCGGGCCATGGCTCTGCAGGAGCAGGGCCGGCGCGCCGCTACACCTGCTGAGGTGTGCGAGCGAGCTATGATGGGTGATTTCGTTCACGGCCCCTTGAGTTTGCCGAAGAGTTGAGGGCGGGTGCGCTGGACTGTGTGCTGAAGCATGGCAGGTGGTCGCGCGCGGATGCCCACAGTTGGATGCATCGCGCGGGTGGCACTTCAGACGTTGCACCACGCAAGTGACGCCACGTGGCTTGCACCATGCGGGCTGCACCACAAAGCTAGTCGCATAGGAAGCCCCATCGGTTGCAGAACCTGTAACACGTGCTCCCCTCTCAACAAGACATCGGTTCTGCCACCCTCCCCACCCTGAACTTCTCGATGCACCCTGCGGGTGTGTAGCTCACCGTTGATTATGCCCCATCGCTCATACTAAACATCAAACCGAATCATCCCAGCCAAGCCGGGTTCGACCATCCCCTCCTCATCCTCGTCCAATAATCCGTCACCGCGCTTGCCGCGGTAGGTGTGTGTCGGGCCCGCTCGCTCCTTGCGAAGCAATAGTTGGGGCCACATTGACGCATCGAGCGCAAGATGCGTTGGCCTTCCACGCAGAAGACGTGCATGCGTACGAGGTCGGGGGAGGGGCGTTCAATGGATCATCCCCCGCCCCGGCACCCCAACCCCCCACCCCCTGGGCGCACGCCCGAATGCAGTTGGCGGAGTCGCGCGGCAGCGCTCATGGATACTATGCGCGCACACTCGCGTGTCACAAATCATTCATTTGCAAAAACGGATTGCAAAAAAATGCACACGCGCGCGTCGTCGCACGCGCATACAACAAATCCTTCACAAACGCCGGGCGCGAGAAAGAAATCAAAATCAACTGTCCCGAACCCATGTCAAACACTGATGTTGCAACTTGATGCCGCAGCAGAAAAACCAGCGCGCGTTCTCATGCGCATTCTCGGGGAAGCCATAAACTTTTAAAACGTAACAGATGCGACCCAACGGGCCTCGTGCGCGCGCATGTCGAGATCGTTCGAACACCCTTGCGCGCGTGCTGTGGGGTGGGCGATGCCTGTCAAATATTACCATGCATCACTCGCACGCGTCGGCCGCGCGCGCATGTCGAAATCGCTTCAAAACCGTCATCGCCGACACGTGGACACCACCATCGTCATCGGCGTGATCGGCAGCGGCGCCGTCATTGGCCTTGCCGCCGTCATCGTCATCCTCGTCACCAGCATCGCTACTATCAGCATCGTGTCTTTTTTTCGACGTCGCCATGATACTGCGCCCGCCCGAACCACCAACTCGCACTGAAGTGCCCACCCGCCAGCGCGGCCTGCGAGACGCTCTGGTAAGTCCACAGCGGTCAGTGCCACCGAGGCCGCGTCGGTCGCACCACACTAGCTGGCC